AATGCTTCTATCCAATACAAATACATAGTACAGAGCAAATCTCGAATTTATTGAACTCCTACATTTTATTTCTCATTAAGATTTATGAGTTACATTTATAAATAGCAGTCAATGAGTCAATTTTTTATGTAATCCATTTGTTTGGTTGTTGCAACAATCATGAGCAGTCGATTCATGTTCTTAATTTTCTAGCAACAAGGACGTGATTTTTTTGCAAGTCCAATATAATGATATACAATGCCTTAAATGTGAAACTAGCCCGCCAACATAATTAAATCTTTGAACAAAGTCTCGAATGTCAGCTATGTCAGCTAAAATCAGAAACGTATTTCTTCTTTTCTTAGTTGTTTCAAATGCTAGAAAATGCATGTTTTTATCTATTTTAATATCTGATTCTAATGGTGGTATGGAAACGTTCTAATTATAACGTATCTGAAAACGTTCTAATGATGACGTATCTGAAAACGTTCTAATTATGACGTATCTGAAAACGTTCTAATTATGACGTATCTGAAAACGTTCTAATTATGACGTATCTGAAAACGTTCTAATTATGACGTACGTTTATATTTTCTGTACGATGATTGTGTTATGGAATATTTTTAATTGAAATGCTGTATCAATTATAGTTAAATAGCGTTGCATTCTTTATAAACCATTTTCCCCAAAAAGCTCCTAATAAATCATTTCAAAACAAACAGTATAGTAGAAATCTCAGTTTTCAAACTGATCTCGCTAGCTTTTGTGACAAAAAAAATATGTTTACTTAGATTCATTTTAAAACAAAACGTTGTTTGAGCTAATCACAACTGAAATATCACCCTATTTCGCGGAAAGTAATTGGTAAATCTGTGGCACTAAAATGTCATTTATTTTCCTAAGTATGAATATGTGTCAACAATTTCAAGTTGTTCATCAGAAAATGTAAATCTAGCTTGATTCCTATATTTCCTTTTATATGAATATTATAAATTTAGTTTTTATGTATTAACATTTAACTTCCAGATTAGAAAATAACCATAAAAATACTTAGAGCTGTCTGTAAACCTTTAGCAGATTCAGATAGAATTACAGTGTTATCTGCATACAAGAGAACATACATTTTCAAAAATACACCAATGTTTTCTGAGAAGAAATCAGCTACTTCTCCTTTAGGGCGGATGGAGAGCGGGGATAAAGACTGTCTGCCGCCGAGGTGTGATAGTTAACCCCTGGGACGTATAGTGATTAGTATCTATGTCTAGGATACAGGTGAACTTAATGATGATGAACCAAGTGGTATATGGGTATTTTGGGATGGCGTCGACAAACGTCTGAAATTTGAGCTGTGTACAGATGATGACAATATTGTGGGAAAATAATATATATAAATAGCCTTGGTATATAATGAATTTATCAATTTACAAGATCTTACTTGAGTTACTCAATACCTCTCTATTTATATAGGTTTACGTACAAATGTGTGATATGGAATTAATTTCGAATGACAAGATGTTGTTTATAAACATGCACAGTACTACAACTATTGTCATTACGGCCCTTACCTACGGATCACTTCGTCCGATAGTTATTGACACGGTACTGGTTATAAATACTAGTTATAGGAATATGGATAATGTCTAAGAAACATTTTTTTAAAGAACAAAGCAGACATAATTCCTTGATATTATTTACACACAAAAGTTGTGTGATTTTTAGCATAAATGGTTTCTTCCAATAATAGCTTTTTGTGTATCGTACCCACAGATGTTTATAAGTATCTCATATTAAAATGAAATGGTGTTCATCTTCGACTTCAAAGTCTGAATGACAAAAAGTACGATATCTTTGAGCCTGAATAACATTACGATATCCACCTGTCCCAACTGCTACAGAATGTGCAGATAAACGTGATTTTGTTAAACAAATTCGCCATTTCTTCGGTATATATTTTGTCAAACAATACTGAATAGAAAAGTGATCTTTTATGTGTTTGTATAAATAATAGTTAGCAGAAGAATCTAGTAAAGCTCTTAAACCCTGGAGTTCCTGGTAGAAAGTCCATCGGCGTATGATTGACAAAAACAAGTTTACATCAGATGCTGACTGGCTTAACCATACATCACCAATACCCAAAGTAAATAATTCATTCATAACATAGTGCACCCAATTAAAACAAGTTCCTGGGCTCCTTTTTCAAAACCAAAGGGTACATCAACGATTTGAAGTAAGATTCTGTTATACTATCGAGACATTTTCTTCAGTCGGACGTAAAAGGTGTGTTTACCTGCCCGATTTTCTCAACGTCAGAAACTATTTGTTACAATCCAAATAAATGAACACAAAAGTAGTTTTTTTTTTATTTTAACAATAATTGCAGACGGGAATAAAGAAAAAAACCTTCATGACGGATCTCCATCCAGACTGACGCTGGAAACGGTTACAAGTGGTTACAGAACGTGCCTCCTGCTTTTGCGTATACATATTAAAGTCGTTTCACGCTTTTTCTCAAGGTCACGATTTACCTTCGCAGTTTATAGGGGAACACAACGTTAAGTTTTGGTCTGTTTGTAACTCCGTTCCTAATTTTCGTTATTGAAACAGAAACAAATGTTGTACAACTTAATATACACATTGTTAACTTGTTGTGAGAGAGTAGAGAGTACGGTTGATCATCTCTCTTCGACACAAATGTATTTTTGGTGTTGTAACGTTTTAGATCTATAAAGAAAGCATATACATATTGGATCATTAAGCTGTCTCCAATTTGATCGGTATGGCATATCGATAAATGATCGGATCAAGACCGGGATGACTGGAGAAAGGAGAGCTGGCTAACGCGGTTTGACAGATCGACAGTCTCATCAAGGGGATATTTACTGTCAATGTAGGGACGTACACTGACAAAGACCTTGTCATATAGGTGTATAACAGTGTCTAGTACAACACAGTTAATGGTATTGCTTACATGAGGGAAATATAGATGTGACAAGAATGTGGTAAAGGCTAGTTGAGACACTTAAAGACATAGAAAGAAAACTCTAACCAGTGTCTAGTACAACACAGTTACGATGGTATTGCTTACATGAGGGAAATATAGGATGTTTTGACAAGAATGTGGTAAAGGCTTAGTTGAGGTGGTTTTACAAAAGACACATAAGTGAACAGCACAGGAAACCGGGTGTGATAAACGAAGACATTTTGTGGAACACGCAAAAACACAGTAAATAAACAGTAATAATACAAATAAACACGTTATTAGAAACTGAATACATTGCCGGTTTATTGCAATTAACGTAAATTTTGTAAAAGGAACGGTAATGTAAACAGCATTTGAGGGGTTGTTAAAAATTTTTTATCTCAATTTATTATTTAAAATGAAAGTTGCATTAGAATTTCACGTTATAACGCATTTTTTTCGCGTTATTACGTGATTTGAATTGAAAGTTTATTTGTTAAAGTTTCCACGTTTTAATGCAAATGCTTTTCGTTAGAGTATGACAGTCCCACGTTTTTTACACTATATCTCGGGATAACAATATGCTACACTAGGAAGTGACAGAACTACGAGAATAACTAACAACGAGTCCAGTGAAGAGGAATTAAAATCCCTGTACTGGAAAATAACTATAAGTGACTATAAGTAATATTTCAATGTGGGTATGAATCTCTCTCCGTGTTTATTCTCCACTACACACCCGTATATACACACCACGATCTTATACACAATCACTTCAGGTGATAGATATATCTAATCTTCTTCAGAAAGTAGAGGAAGTGAACCTAAAACCTATGGGCTTATCACAGAACAATGACATAACATTGATAGGCATTTCTGCTTCAATGTTATGGCGGGTAATTTACCAAAGACAGGATTATTGTCAGATACATACTCATAAATACTGTTGTTTGTGTTGAAACGAATTGATAAGTTGGGGATATAGGAATTTTATATAGGTATAGATATTTTAGTGTCAGTGGTTTTTTTTTTATCAGAATTTATCATCGGAAAGCAATTAATTAAAAGTGGGACGTCACACCTACCAAAACTTTCCCAGCATTATGACCACACACTTTATTAAACTTTACATTTTATCTACAATTGGCGAAACATAACATGAAAAACATAACAATCGCATACGGTTAGGTTAAAAGGTCCCCTTGTCCTATGGTATCATCAATACCTAATCTACGAAAAAAGATTCTATCCTATGTACGGGGCATAACAATAATCTTCCCACCACTGTATAATTACCGCCGCTGGTGATCAAAATATATACGCTTCCCTTCAGTTACATAGTGGACTATTCCAGGTGGCTAATTTGTGATCAGGCATGCAATTTCTAGGTGCGCAAATTACACAGGTTTTTTTCCAGGATTCAAAAAAAAAGTTCAGTCTGTGATAAGGCACGACAGAGAAATCAAGGACTTGTATAGTTACAAGGATACAAAATATACAACATTCTGTCAAGCTTATGTTTAACATCAAGATTTTACATATACAAAGGTCTTGTCAAAAGTTTCAGGAAAGGCTGATTCAAAAGAAATGGTCTGGATCTATTGATAGTATATACTCGAATTTGGGGGAATTTCAACAAGTAATGAAATTGATTTTAGACCTATGTAAGACAAAACATGTCTATTAAGGATCACATTTATGTATAGGATGCGGTGCTGTTGCTCATCTTTTTGGGTCTCCCCCCCCCCCCATTTTGTTCTCTCATGAACCTCTTGATCATACAATATTGACACTCTAGACATATAGCAATTAAAAATGATCAGTGGTGAACACAGGATTTTTAAAATGGGAGGGGAAGGGGAAAAATTACCTGAACTACTAAAGGTAAAGGCCACTTCAAAATGAACACGTGAAAATAATGATGAGTTGTATTCAACTTTCTTCTGCAACACTATCACTCTAAGGAATGCTATTTAGTCCAAGTGAACTTTTTAATATACAAATTGTGATGTAAACATCAAGAATCCATTAAATAACCAGACACAAGACAAGTTGTTGACATAAGAATTTTACTTCCTTGTATTATATTACAGTATCACAGTACAATATACACCGACAATTACGACAGTGTAATTACATCCATCAACAAGATAAATAAATCAGAAGAAACACCTTTTGTACTAAAGATTAGACCCTCCAATTATTGGATATCATCTTTAATTGTCCACCCCAAAACAAATTACTGACGGAATTGGCAAATGTTACTATTACCTTTCATGCATATCCACAAACATTGGGGCCTGACATTGTTCTCACTTTTGAAACACATCAGTTGACATTCATGTACCAAATTTCTTAGTGACTTTCTCTCACACAACAAGTAACATATATGAAATTAAACATTACAGTGCTTCAATATGAGCCATTATACTGTAGTACAGATAACTGGGTATACACACTTTCACTTCCATATATAGTCTGGTTTTAAGTCTGAACTACAGTCATAACTATCATACAAGGTCAATTTTTTCTTTTATCTTCTGGTCAGTCTGGTATCAGATATATCTTATGAACTTTCAAACAATGTAAATCACTCAAGAGAACTTAGATTCGGCTTAAGACTTTTGAAAATTTCTTTGAAAACACTACCTGATTCTGAGTCGAGCTCACATCAGCATCTGATACTGGTCCCTAAATATTGTACATTGTATAGGAAAAACTACCTGATTCTGAGTCAAGCTCACACACCAGCATCTGATACTGCATCTGATACTGGTCCCTAAATATTGTACATTGTAGGGAATCAGGATTCTGACATGAGTCGAGATCTTATCTCCTTACACACCAGTGTCTGATACTAGTTCCTACAAAATGTACATTCTCTGAATGGAAAACACTGATTATAGCATTGAACCCTCACCCCGTGCTTACCTACCACAGCTGTACATGAATACTGTTAAACCTTTTACATCTTGATTCATCAGTAAACATTGGCTGATGACTATTTCATGTACAAAAACAGTTTTGTATAAATTGTTTTTATCCTTTAAATGGGAAATACAAATGTTTGTGGGGATCAATTTTCATGGTTTAAAAAAAAAATTGTGGGCACTTGACTGCTTTGATATATGAAGCTAAATTAAGCTACTGAAACTTACTTTTTTTTTAAAGATTGTTAACTTATAAATTAATGAATTAAAATCCAAGCAAATGAATCCCTCACAAAAAGCAATGATTTTACAGTAATAACAAAGAACCAACTTACACTAATCAACACTACCATGAGATGGTGTACAAGTTGCTTTTTGGAGGGTTAAAGTTTTCAAAGTTTTACTAAAATCTTGAAACAAAACACATAAGTTTTGAAACAGACTATGGTTCCTTTATCAATTATATTTTCAAGATGTCTGTTTTATCATGGGATTTTATGCCATCCGTCAAAAATAGCGAAAATTAAAACCCTTTTCAGTACTTTATATACATTATATGTTTGTGTGAAAGGCAAAATTGCAATGTCTCTTACATATGTAGGCTTCACAGACATAGTTGGTTTCAAAGACCATAATCTGTGGTGATGATGTAATTCATCATGTCTTAATAAATTATGCACATATCAAAGGACGGAATGCAGTGTATTAAGTCTGTTCTACCACTATCATGATGCTCCCGTCTTGATGATTTTGAACAGTGAGCTGACGTTATTGCTTTTGATCGCTCCTCTGCAGGCATTTACAACCTGTGTCTTGTATCGCCCCACTGCAAATAAATGAAAACTGTGTGTCAGCTAAACATCACAAACGTAAAGGGACAAATTTATATCTAAAAACCAATATCACCATCAGTTTTAATAAAATCTCAAACTAGAGTGGTAGGAAGGGTAAAGCTTCTTTCATCTATAACGTCTTTCATCTGAGTCGACCAGCCTTCTGTATGACCTGGTGAGTACCTACCTCTGAGTCGTTCAGCCTTCTGTATGACCTGGTGAATACCTACCCCTGAGTCGTCCAGCCTTCTGTATGACCTGGTGAGTACCTACCTCTGAGTTGTCCAGCCTTCTGTATGACCTGGTGAGTACCTACCCCTGAGTCGTCCAGCCTTCTGTATGACCTGGTGAGTACCTACACCTGAGTCGTCCAGCCTTCTGTATGACCTGGTGAGTACCTACCCCTGAGTCGTCCAGCCTTCTGTATGACCTGGTGAATACCTACCCCTGAGTCGTCCAGCCTTCTGTATGACCTGGTGAGTACCTACCCCTGAGTCGTCCAGCCTTCTGTATGACCTGGTTGACCTGTTTGAGTGAAGCCAGAAGTTCCTGGTGATTCCCACATCGAATCTTGTAGCCATTGATGAGGTCTCGGTTCATATTGAACAATTCCATGTATCCCTTCCGCATATTCTTCCTGTTGATAACAACATAATTTCATGAAAAAAAAATGAAATTATTTTTTGATAGGTTCTTTTCTAAACATCAGGATAATTTTTTTGAATAATCATACAAAGTTATACTTAAATGTTTAGACTTACATGTCACCCATCAACCTGGCATCCTCTGCTCGTACCACCATGCTCCGGATAAGGTTGGAGTGGTCAGCCATCTCAGCGGTCAGTTTCTGCCTCACTACATTATACTCATCCACCTAATACATATATAATATACATGTATACAACATACACCAAAAGTGATGTATTAACTTTATAAGTGATATTGCTTCTTTATGAATCATAAAATACAAGATTACTGTGTTTGTTTATAGATAGAGCTCTTTGTAGTAACATTAAAATTTTCACAGAACTTGGATGAAAAATAAAGTTTTCAGCAAGGTGAAAGTAAAACATACCTTCAACAGAACCTCCTTCAGGTTTTCTATCTCAGCTGGGAAGTCGGCAGTCACCTGTAAGTCTTCCATATTTAGAAAGTTAGCCAAGTTCTGTATCACATCTCCAGCAGTGTCCATGTCATCTGTCAACAAGGTCACCTAGAAAGACGACAATTTGTTTCATTTAAAATTGATGTGAATTTTTTTTTATTAACATTCAGTTTTATCCCCATTCGTATGAGAATAACATAGAGATATTGGCCACACAAAATACGAGTTGGTGAATAATTTCTCTGCTTGCATGTCACAAAAGTATAAAAAGTCTGTGGTCTGTGCAAGAATAAAATATAAAGATACGAACACATTTGCATTTTAAACCCATATTAGGATTTCCTTATGTTTTGTTCTTTCACAGTTTAGGATTCATTGAGAAACACATTTAAAAGGCCTTTTGAAGCATTTGAAGGTCATGGTGACATAATCAAAATACTGAAGGTGATTTGGGGATTAATACATCATATCATCAACAGCTCAAAAGTACAAAGCTGAATAAAATATTGTTAGCAGCAGATTAAAAACAGCCACAACCAAGAGAAGCAGATTTTATGATTTTTATCATTCTTTGAAGCAGGTGTAATTATAACAAGAAATTCCACAGGGATCTTGGTGTCTAATGTTGTATGTTCTCTTCTTTTTCCTTCTTTCCAATCTATTCCAAAACAAATATGTAGGGACAGCTACATAAAATCAGGATATCTAAAAATGATGCTTAAGTACTTCTCAAGAAATAGCAACAACAAAGCCAAGGTGACTGACAGACACCCATTACATTTTTCCACGAGTCTAAATTTGATTGTCAAAATTCAAGATGGCCGTATCATGTCATCCATTTAGTTTTTCCAATCTATCCCATATTTAAATATTTATAACTATGACCCAGGTGTAACCTAAATATGAAATTTGACAATGTCCCATTGAGCAATAACAAGAATGTTTAGGGACAGACAGATGACAGACGGACCACAGATAACCACAGAAAACAAAGTGCATTCTTAACCGCCCACAACCTGATGACGTTGAGCTAATTAAAAAAGAGATGATTATACAGTGCTCCAGGTTAGTTACAGAGACACAAAGTAGTTTGGTTAAGGAGTCCTTGTCAAGCATAAAGCAAGCAGTTTGGTCAAGGAAGCTTGGTTAAGCAGACAGCAAGCAGTTTGGTCAAGGAGACTTGGTCAAGAACACGGACTCAGTTTGGTTAGGACCAAATGGTCAAGATGATGCCAAATCAGTTTAATCAAGGATACATTCAGTCACTTTGGTGACAGAGACAGTTAATTAGTTGGTGACAGAGACAGTTAATTAGTTGGTGACAGAGACAGTTAATTAGTTGGTGACAGAGACAGTTAATTAGTTGGTGACAGAGACAGTTAATTAGTTGGTGACAGAGACAGTTAATTAGTTGGTGACAGAGACAGTTAATTAGTTGGTGACAGAGACACTTAATTAGACACTTAATTAGTTGGTGACAGAGACAGTTAATTAGTTGGTGACAGAGACAGTTAATTAGTTGGTGACAGAGACAGTTAATTAGTTGGTGACAGAGACAGTTAATTAGTTGGTGACAGAGACAGTTAATTAGTTGGTGACAGAGACAGTTAATTAGTTGGTGACAGAGACAGTTAATTAGTTGGTGACAGAGACAGTTAATTAGTTGGTGACAGAGACAGTTAATTAGTTGGTGACAGAGACAGTTAATTAGTTGGTGACAGTTAATTAGTTGGTGACAGAGACAGTTAATTAGTTGGTGACAGACAGTTAATTAGTTGGTGACAGAGACAGTTAATTAGTTGGTGACAGAGACAGTTAATTAGTTGGTGACAGAGACAGTTAATTAGTTGGTGACAGAGACAGTTAATTAGTTGGTGACAGAGACAGTTAATTAGTTGGTGACAGAGACAGTTAATTAGTTGGTGACAGAGACAGTTAATTAGTTGGTGACAGAGACAGTTAATTAGTTGGTGACAGAGACAGTTAATTAGTTGGTGACAGAGACAGTTAATTAGTTGGTGACAGAGACAGTTAATTAGTTGGTGACAGAGACAGTTAATTAGTTGGTGACAGAGACAGTTAATTAGTTGGTGACAGAGACAGTTAATTAGTTGGTGACAGAGACAGTTAATTAGACAGTTAATTGGTGACAGAGACAGTTAATTAGTTGGTGACAGAGACAGTTAATTAGTTG